CCCTGAATTTTGGGCTTCCTGGAGCTGACTGGAGTGAAAGCTCTATTTTTTTAATACTCTATATTTAATTTATATTTATATGTAATACTCCAGGTGGTTTTGTTCAAGAGCAGAGTTGGTAATAACAATTTCTCTCTCTGCTTCTTTCCTTGGTCTTCTCTGATCTTCTCCAGGCAAATATTGTTCCTAAGCAAACCTTACACACTTCCCTGAATTTTGGGCTTCCTGGAGCTGACTGGAGTGAAAGCTCTATTTTTTTAATACTCTATTTAATTTATATTTATATGTAATACTCCAGGTAGTTTTGGTAATAACAATTTCACTCTCTGCTTCTTTCCTTGGTCTTCTCTGATCTTCTCCAGGCAGGTGTTGTTCCTAAGCAAACCTTACACACTTCCTTGGAATTTTTGGGCTTCCTGGAGCTGACTGGAGTGAAAGCAGAGCTCCCTGGAGCTCCCACATCCTTCCTGCTTCCTTTCCTCCTGACAAAACCTGCATTTATCATTTGGCACCTCTGAGACCAGGGATTGAACAGCAGCCCGAGCATTCCAGGCATGGAATGGCCTTGGACACTTCCAGGGATCCAGGGGCAGCCACAGCTTTTCTGGGAAATCCATTCCAGGGAGCAATTCCTTCCCAAAATCCCATCTAACTCCACCCCCTGGCAGTGGGAGGTTTTCTCTGTCTCTGCATTTATCCTCAGCCTAATTTAAATTACTCCTTCACCGATTGCCAAAACCTCCCTGGGGAATAAAGGGAAAGGAGCTCCTGAAAAATGGGATATCAGGATGGAGCCATGCTTGTGCCAGTGCTGTTGTTAGAAATTTGGGACAGAAACATCTGGGAATAAAGGAATTTATTCCTGCTCCAGCCCTTGGATGCATCCTCTCCATCACTCCATGCTGTTTTCTGGAGCCTCCCTCATCATTCCCAGAGTGTTTGGTGGGATAAATTAATTCCATGAGCTCCTCCTGTTGAGTTAAATGTGCTTTCATCATCATTTCATACCTGAAACAGGAAACACCAGAAACAGCTGGAAATGGCTGTGTTTTCCTAATTTCCATAATATTCCCTGCCAAACCCAGCCCAGGTGAGAGGAGGGTTAAATAGGAGTGGAAATTTGATGGTCTGTCTGCCAAAAAAAGCCCTGAGGACACAAAGTTGTGGCTGTTCCTTTGCCTGAGGGCAGATAAACAAACAATTTTTGGGATAAAATAGCCCAAAAGGCAAAATGAGCTGATGAATTCCAGCTTGGGGTGCAAAGGAATAATAATTTTCAGGTCTGGTAACGCTGCCAGCAGCACTTGGGCTGGGGATGATTCACCTGATGATCCTTGAAAAAACTTGGGAAGGCTTCAATGAGCACATAAAAAACTTGGGAAGATGCTTGAAGAATGCAGAACCATGTGAATATTGCATTTCATTTGGGAAATAATGCCCCTGCTGGCTGCTCTGATTTCAAGGATTTTTTAATATTCAGGACTTCCCCACCTATCTAACATAAAATATACCAGATTAAATAACATCAACAGCATTTAAGTTGCTCTTCTGTAAATATTGAACTTAAAACTTTGCATTTCCCCCCTTATTTCAGTGCCTTTGCATGTGAGGAAGGGAAAAAGGAGCTGATGATCTTCAGCCACTGGGTCCACGAGAAGAAATGAAGCAAAACAGCCCAAATTTTGTCCTTTGGCAGGCTGGGGGTGTGATGGAAGTGTTGAAAATAAAGAGAATTAAGGCCTGGAGTGGTTCAATAATGAAAGATCCCTGTTATTTAGAGATTTAGGGTTGTTCAGCCTGGAAAAGAGAAAGCTCTGGACAGGGATGAACAGGCTGGGACATATCCCAGCTTTTGGGCTGGACTCTGCACCCCTCTGTTCACCCCTTTCAATTGGGATATAATTTCATGGGTTCCCAGGTTATTAAATAGGAAGAAAAGTTTGGAAATAGCTCTTTGTGGAAAAGAAGTTTGAAATTGGTTATTGAGTTTTTAAATTTGCTTTAATCAGGCGTGTTGATGGAGAGAGGGGTTTGATTCATTTACTGAAATCATTGATTTAGATAATTTCAGTCAGCTTCAATCAGGAATTAGGGTTTAACCATGGCAAGCATTTCAATTTAAACTTTAATGAAAACATCTCCACCCCCATGCAGTTCTGACCCAGGAAATCCTGACAATTTTCACTCAGCTCTTCCCTGTTTCTCCAGCAGCATTTCCTTTGTCATCAGCCCTTGAACCACAGCAGAAACTTGTCAGAAATCATAATTCCCATCAATCTCTTGCTCTTCTGTAAATATTTAACTTAAAACTTTGCATTTCCTCCCTTATTTCACCGCCTTTGCATGTGAGGAAGGGAAAAAGGAGCTGATGATCTTCAGCCACTGGTTCCATGAGAAGAAATGAAGTCAAATGAAGAAATTCCCATCAATCTGTAGCTTCAATGTGCAATTCAAATATTCTGCAGTGCCCAGTCCCCTCACCTGGAGAGCTCCTACAACTGCAGCCCTATAGAAATCACAGGCTTGGGCATCCCTGCCCAAACTCCTGGGGGTTTTAGGATGAGCAGTGATTTTGTTGTGTGCTGTTCCAAAGATCAAACAGAGCCCCAGCTATGGCATTTTGTTGAGAAATAAATTGTAAAAGAGGCAATAAACTTAAATTGTAGCATCCCAGCTCTGATTGCAGGATGATGTTTCAGATTATTGAGAAGGGAAACTCCTGTTGGAGACACATCTCCTTCCATCATTTTGTTTCTCATTTTCCTTTCTGGCTGTGCCTCCTGCAGTCAGGGAATGGGATATTTTATATTTTACTTCCAGCATCCAGCACAGACTCTGTGGGGAGAGATGGCACAGGAAATCTGTCTGTGTCTGTTCTAATTCCCAGTGGATGTTGAATTTGTGGGACACATCCCAAAGATTTATTTTTCATCTCAGGGCACTCCCAAATAGATAACTTTGAAGTCTTTAAAGGCATGAAATCCCACAGAATTCCTCCTGTTTCTTCAGCCCTGACAGGGGGTTCCAGCACAACAGGAGATGCTGCACATGCTGATTATAAGGGTCTTGCTGACATTTAAATCTCTACCCTGATTAGCCTTTAGTAAAGCAGCTGTTTGTCATTAAGGCAGGAGAAATGAGAATATAAGGTGTGATTAGTGGTTTAATTAATACACAAGTGCATTGTCTGCACTTCAGCAACTTCCTGGGCTGCATGGACCTTGTGGGGGGGCTGGTATGTGAATTTATTAAAATATGTAGGATATAACACAGAGGTTGTGTATATATATATATATATATATATATATATGTATATGTATGTATATATATATACATATCATAGATAAAAATACATAATATACATAATTTATATATAATTTTATAACATATTTATAATTTAATATTATAAATTATATTATATTAATTATATTGTATATAATATAATAATATTACATTATTAATTATATAATATAATACTTATAATTTATACATAATATATAATTTATATATAATATTCATATTATATCTATTTACATATAATATATAATACATAATATAATTTATATATTATATATAAATATATAATTTGTGTATTATATATAATATAGATATAATTTATATATATAATATATACATATATGTAAATAAATATATATAACATATGTATCCTATCTATAGGATATCCTAAATATATAAGGATTTTATTAAAATATATAGGATATAATAATGTGTTATGGCTGTTAAATGAGAGAGTAGCACCTCTCCACAATTTCTGACAGGGGATGTTGGGCTGTGCTGCCAGGGAACAGGGACAGGACAAGGGCCAAGGGCCTCAAGCTGGGCCAGGGGAGGCTCAGCTTGGACAGCAGCAGCAATTTCTGCATGCAAAGGGTGCTCAGGCCTTGGCAGGGGCTGCCCAGGGAGCTTTGCAGTGCCCAGCCCTGGAGGTGTTGCTTTGATTAGAAAACTAAAAATTCTTCTCCAAGAGAAGTTGCTGTGTTGAAAACCAGAAGAGGCTTTAAGGGCCGTTCTGCCGTGCAAGTCAAGAAAAAATCTTTGAGTTTGCACTTTGAAGGTTTTTCTATCTTGCAAATGCAGTTAGGGATAAAAACTCATTAAGGAGGGGGTTTGGGAGCTGAAGGAGCAGCAAATCAAAGCCCATTCATTTCATGGATTTTATCAGTGGGAGTATTTGTAAATATTTTGCTGAAAGTCTCTCTGCTTCGTGCTGTTTCCTGCAGTCAAAAGGGGGCATGGGTATGGAATTTATTGCATTCACTGTCTGAAAAAATAAAAAGAAATTAATACAAGTGTAGAGGTCTTGGGAATAGTTTTAATCAAACTGTTTCTCTAAGGAGAAGCCCTATTATAAACTGTATCTACTCAAGCATTTATGGCTAATGCAAATGTCTAAGCCACAGCTGAGATGAAAACTGGACCTTTTGGGGCTCTGCTCTCTGTGCACTGGTTTTCCCTTTTTTTTTATTACCATGGAATTTTGCCCCTGAAGAATAGGATGTGGTGTTTGGAGAGTGACTCAGAAATCCTGGAATTCATCAGGGACCCAAAAAAGTAAAGTTGGAAAAGAATGGCTCACAACCTCGCCAGGTGGGAGGTGGTTCATTATCAGGGTGCAGCAGGGCTTGGGTCTCGAAATTTCCTTGGGAGCAGGACAAAACCTCAATGGATTTTGCTGGATAATGCACTAAAAGTGTCCCAAAATCACTCAGGTTGTGATGAACTGACCCCAAATCCTTGCTCACCTTTGGCCTTCCTTGATTTCTCCTCCTCTCACAGCTGCTTCCAGGCCATCTTTCCAAAACCCCCCATCCACCAGGACCTTCCCAATCCTCTCAGTGCATGTTTCATGTCCAGCAGCTGAATTTCCTGGTTTGCAGTGCTCCCCATTCCCAATGACATCGTTTTCCTCTGCAGTTCACAACAGGAATTTGGACATTTTTTTGCTAATCACGTTTTCCCCTTGTCTTGTTTTTTTCCAGCTCTCGTAAATGTGAAACTTTGGGCTATTGATCGGCAATGTTTTCAAACAATAATGATGAGGACTGGCCTCATCAAGCATACTGAGTATATGGAATTTTTGAAAAGGTATGGCACTTGTTTATTTATCCAAAAATCCCATGAAACTGCCGTCCTCTCTTGCCTTTTTTTTTTGTTTTTTTCTTGTGAGTGCAGTATTTGATTTGTTTCCTTCTCATCTCTTTCGGTTTAAATGATTATTATTATTATTATTATTCTGATGATTTTTATTTGCTGTTTGCCCATCCTCCTGAGAGGAGGGGGAGCTTTGCTGTGGGGGAGTTTCGTTCCTGTTGTGAGTTATTCATTGGCAAAGAGTCCCAGAGCTGAGGGGTGAGAGACAAGCTTTCATATGAGTCATTCAAAGTGTGTCAGAAAAGACACGTTTTTACAAAAAAACACCCTTTCAAGGGAAAAATCTGGGGTTTAAACAAGTTCAGATCCACTGGGGGTGTGTTCTTGTGCTTCTGGAAGTAAAATGGGAGTTTTTAGGAAAGCAGAGCTTTAGGTTGCTGTACAATGAAGGTTGGATGAGTAACATAAACATAAAGACAGAAAAACAAAATTTTCACTCACTCCATTTGATTTTCCCAAAGGTTCCTTCAGAGATTTAAGTTGGAGAGGATCAATAATGAATAATACTGATTATTTGGAGAGCTGGGGGTGTTTATATGGAGAGGAGAAGGCTCCAGGAAGAGCTCAGAGCCCCTGCCAGGGCCTAAAGGGGCTCCAGGAGAGCTGGAGAGGGACTGGGGACAAGGGATGGAGGGACAGGACACAGGGAATGGCTTCAAAATGACAGAGTGGAAATTTAGCTGGGACATTGGGAATGAGGAATTGTTCCCTGGCAGGGTGGGCAGGCCCTGGCACAGGGTGCCCAGAGCAGCTGGGGCTGCCCCTGCATCCCTGGCAGTGCCCAAGGCCAGGCTGGAGCAGCCTGGGACAGGGGAAGGTGTCCCTGCCCATGGCAGGGGAGAAAGCAATTTCAGGTTCTTTCCACTCCAAACCATCCCATGATTCTATGAAAAATCACTATATTTTTACATATATTTTTTGCATATATTTTACAGGGGGTGGCGCTGGATGGGCTTTGAGGTCCCTTCCCACCCAAACCATTCCATGATTTCATGAAATCCAGTGCCACAGTGTAAGGAACAGATTGTGTTTGGTGTCACTAGAATTATCCCAAAGGGAAGGAAATGTCAGGAATTGTAGGGAAGGGGAGGCCCAGGCCACTGTGAGGCTTTCAGCCATCCCAGTGCTACTCAGACATTACTAAGCTGTTACTACACCCAGCTTGTCCCAGGTAGTATTGGAGAAGAAAGGGACTCAGGGAGATAATAACAATAATATTATTAATAATAAATGTTAATAATGCCATTATTAATAAAAAATTAATTATCTAATTATAAAACTATATAATTTTATATAATTCTATTTTAATACTTCTATAATTATTAAATTATATAATTTTATAATTAAATTATAAAATTATTAATAGAATTATTAGTTTATACAAGCAGATATTATTTAAAATGTATATTATATACCATGTATAATAGGAATATACATATAAAATGTAACATCTAGATGATTCATAGGATCTTTTAGGTTGGAAAAACCCTCTAAGATCATTGAGTCCAGCCATTCCCCCAGCACTGCCAAGGCCATCTCTGACCATGTCCCCAAGTGCCACATCCACATGGCTTTAAATCCCTGCAGTGATGGGGACTGGGCAGCTGTGACCGCCCTTTCCAGGAGGAATTTTCCCCAAAATCCCATCTAAACCTCCCCCTGAGGCTGTTCCTCTTGCCCTTGTTCCCTGGGAGCAGGGGGTGAGCTCAATGATCTCCAGAGGAACCAGGACGGTGATCCCATGAGATTGATGCCCTGGGGTGAGGGTGGCTCTAGAACAGGGAATTAATGCAAGTGGGATTTGATCTGGGAGCAGAGTCCTGCCCAAGTCACTCCTTGGCTGATCCCATCCTCTCCTTGTGGGCTGGAATTGCACTGGGATGGAAATACTCCTGGGAAAAGAATGAAACTCAGGTACTTGGTGAGGTCAGGGATTCCCTGGAGAGAGACAGGAGCTCCACGGGGATGTCCCACAGCTGGAAAAGCATGGCTGAGCTTTTTCCAGGTGTCTCTGCTCATGATTATCAACAACCCAGCTCAGGAGAGGAAACAAAACCTGCTGCTTTGTTTAAGGGGCTTAAAACCCATCCATTCCAGCATTAAAAAGCTTTTCAACAAACCTGGGAATGGGTGTGGGATCAGCTCTGGGGTGGGAGCTGCTGGAGCAGGCCCCATGCTCACATGAAGCTTTGAAGCTCTGAGCTTTAATAGAGATTTTCCAGAAGGCTGTCAAGATTAATTTGGATTCAGGTCCTGCAGAGCCTGCCCAGCTTTAATTTTAAAGCAAATGATGTGAGGAGGAAATCAAGGAGTGTCTCCTCACTCCGTGGCTGTGCTGCTTGAACACAACCTGTGGCTCATTAGAAAGGCCTAAGGCAATGAAATAAATATTTATTTTATGAAATCTTACAGTTCCAATTTAGGAAGAGTATTTCTTCCATTTGGAGCACTTGTAGGAAGGTCCTTAAAAAATGTTTTTTCCCATTGGGTCTTCCACTTGTGCTCTGGGCATCTTTAGCTGTCTCAAGCTCAGTTTAAATCTCATATGGAACATGAAATACTCATTTTTAGATCCCATTTGCTACATTAAGTGTTCATTTTAAAATCTCATTTGCTACACTAAATGCTCATTTTTAAACATGCTTTCCTTCAAAATGTTTCTAATGAAAACCAGGATAAATCCTGAAAAGACAGAGCTTGTTGATTGTTGACTTTATTCTTTGCTTTTGGGGGATTTGGGAATTTTTTTCTTTTCCTGTATTAATGCATGAATGCAAATACTCTTGTTAAGAAATAAATTGAATAAAACATAAAGGTTTGAATGGTGCCTGCCCACAGAAAAATCAGTGGGGTTGGACAGGATTTTTTCCTGCTGATATTAATCTAAAAAGTCCCTCTCTAATTGTGCCATTATCACAATAACAGAATTGTCACCATTTCCAATAACAGATTTTCACATGAGAGCAAAGCACAGCAGAAATTAAACTTCTGGGGGTGAAGTGAGGCTGTTCATTTAGTTATTTTGTTTTAATCCTATTTATCCTGCTGAAAATAAGTGCAGCTGGATTTCCAGGGCTCTCTGGGAATATCACCCCAATGGCATTGTGGATTTGCTGGAGTTTTCCCCAGCAGGAACATCCCACTGGCACAGGGCAGCTGCTGCTCCTTAGGGCCACCCTTAGGTGTCAGTCCTTTGTTCTGAAAGCCAGGAGAAACCATAAAGACAGGAAAAATCCATTTCCTGGCTGAGAAATCCAGGAGTGCCTTGCCAACATGTCCTGGGCTGGAACGCTGAATCCCACCTTGCTCCAAGGAGGTGAGCACTAAGAAAATTTGGGATAACTCCCCTACTGACATAAAGCAACTCTTCTGGAGCAAGGAGCAACTGAATATCCTTTTTCTGAGGAATATAATTTTTCTGAGGAACCAATCCATGCCTCCCTTCCCAAAATCAGCAGATGATCCTTGATGGGATCAAAAGCGGCCCTAATTCTGTGGCAGTGCATGCTCCAAGGAGGGGCTGGAAAAGGCAGCTGGTTTTTGATCCCTGTGGGTACCTGTGTCTTGGTTTGAAAGAGAGGTGTCTGCTGAGGAAGGCAGGAGCCTCTCCTGAAATGGAAAATGTAAACCCCCTCCCTCCAAATCATTGTAATTTTGAAATTAAGGGGCTCTCAGGCAAAGATCTGGGAATGGGAGTGACAGTTCTTTATTAGGAAAATACAAAATACAAATAAAATAGTACAAAAAGATAAACAGAGTCAGACCATGCCCTGTCCCCCTGTGTGTCAGGGGGTGGCACAGCCCCATCCCATGGGGGCTCAGCCCTCCTGCAGTGCCAGCTGTGGCTCTGCTGGAGCAGGGATCCTGCACAAGGGGGGAGTTTTCCTCTGCAGCTCCAGGGCTGCTGGAGATGGGCCTGGGCTCCCTCTGGCCATGCAGGGCAGCAGAAGCTGCTCCTCTGGCAATGCACTGGGCAAAGGCTGCTGGGGTGTCCCAAACCTCAGATTGGATCCAGGCAGGAATGCTTGGCTCCTCCCCTGGGCAATGCATCTCCCCATGGGATGATGGGATTGGATCAGCCATGCAGGGACACTCACTGGCCATGGACAGGAGATAATTAATAATTAATGGCCCATGAACAGCAGAGATCTTATGGAGGGAGGATTGGTTGTGGAAGAGATAAAGAAAACTCTGGTTTTAGAAAGAAAACCTGGTTTTAACAGCTGGCCCATGAACAGAAGATATCCCCCTGGAGTTATGAGGGATGAGTCAGGGAAAAGAAAAAGAACTGTCCCCCACCTGGTAATAGAATATATACTTTTGGTTACATCTTGCATTGCTACTTAAGACAACCTGCAAGATGAATCAGAGCAGTGACTCCCTTGGAAACTCAGATTTTTGGTAGCTCAATATGTGACTCAATCAGTGTTAGGTCAAGGTAGATCATACAGCAACCAGCAGTGAAATGTGAAATGTAATTTAGTGTTGTGGACTTAGTTACTCCTGATGATACAGGGGGAGTTTGTTGAATTCATCTCTAGTTTTCAGCCTAAATTGTGCTTTTTGTGTTAATTGAATGTATTTGTCCTTATGCAAGCGCAGTGAGGTCACAGCTGTGCTAAATGCCTCTGTACTTCTCACTGCAGTATTCCCTGTTCCAGGCTTACAATGATTTCTTTCTCAAGCCAGTCCTAAAAATCATTCAATTGAATTAAAATCAGAATATTTCAGTTAAGGAAACAACTATTTGTTCAATTAATCTGTCCAGGGAATAAAAGTTGGGGGGGGAGAAACTTGTGCTGTGGCAAGAATTTCCTGCTAAACATAGTAAGATCAGAATGCCTTGAAAGAGTAAATATTGCAATTTTTTTCTTCCCAAAAAGGCTTCATAAATGAAAAAAGCTTCCTTCAGTTAAAAGAGGCTGCGGGTTCTG